TTTAACCTTTGTTTTTCATATCCTACATATAAACAGCCAACTAATCACTTCACATTCCCCCCCAAGTGTGTCAGTAAATAAACATGTTCATTTCAAAATATAAACTGATTAGTTGGCTGTTTATATGTAGGATATGAAAAACAAAGGTTAAAAAAAGTTGCACTATTTTATTACTTTTTATAAAACTGGACATTTGTACTTGTTTGGAGAATCGACACGAGGACGGACTGTGAGTGGAGAAGATTAAACTGAAGTGATTTGTCATGTTGATCGTTGGCGTGCTGAATGCGCTAAACACATTTCATGTTCCTCCAATAAACTGATGTGATGAACTCTTCGCTCTGCTTTGATTTCACATGATGGAAGTTTAATGACTCATCAGAGAACACGAAGGACTCCATGTCCTCGGGTCTCATCTTCAGCAGATCTGTTCTACGTTTGGTTTTGTGGGAAGTTATACTATATTATTTGTTACTTTTGCACTCCACAACATTAAAAAATGTATTTGCATTAAATTCGACATTCTCTCAAAATGCTTTTGGGTTACTTTGCTTCAGATTTTATTTGGGTATTAGAAAATCCCCACTTTAACATGGTGGAGGGGTTTGTGTAACCCTGAGAGTTGTGTTGTCAGTAGCAATAGCTACGTGGGCCCACCACTCGCAGGAAAAGGCATTGGGGTCAGCTGCAATGTGAGCCGGGCGGCATGCAAGGGTGGGAACCTGGGCGTGCTAATCTGTCATCGCAGACTACCTCTAGGGACGTGGAATATGGTGGTGGTGAGTTGGATCAGATGGTAAGAAGGCTGCCGGACATGTAGCGAGGGTGAACTGGGAATGTCTGGCTGAGGAGCCTGTGAGCAAGGTCTTCAACTCCCACCTTCGGAAGAATTTGTCTTGGATCCAGGGGAACGCTTGGGTCATGGAATCCAAGTGGGCCATGTTCAGAGCCTCCATTGTGGAAGCGGCTGCTAGGAGCTGTGGTCGGACAGTCAACGGTGCAAGTCGTGGCAGCAACCTGAGAACCTGCTGGTGGACACCAGCAGTGAAGAAGGAGACTCCAGAAACAGCAGTTGGGTAACAATTGGCCAGAAGGCCTGCAGCTGTGGAGGTTGACAAGATAAAAACACGGGTGTGGGAGGAGTTTAGGGAGAACATGAAGAAGGATCTTCATTTGTCCTCAAAGTTCAGGTAAACAGTAAGACGACTCAGAAAGGGAAAGCAGGGTTTGTCTCAGGCTGTGTTCAGAAGGGCAGAACTGCGGACCCAGACTGAGGATATTGTTGGGATGTGGCAAGTACACTTTGAGGAACTCTTGAACCCGACCAACACATCCTCCGTGGAGGAGGCAGAGTTTGAAGTCTCTGGATAAGACCCATCCAAATCCCTGGCAGAGGTCACTAGTGAAGTCAAAAAGCTGATTGGTGTGGATAAGATTTGCCGTGAGGCTCTGGACATCGTTGCCAGGAGAGTGTCCAGTATGGCATCCCTGCTTTTTGCAGATGATGTGGTTCTATTGGCTCCTTTAGAATGTGACCTTCAGCAGCACTGGGGCAGTTTAGAGCCGAGTGGAAATCGGTCGGGTTGAGAGTCAGTTCCTCCAAGTTTAAGGCCATGGTTCACTGCCAGAAAATGGGGGTTTGCCGGAGGTTTGGTGCAACGTCAGCAGAAGGAAAACTGCAGTATTTTTTTCTGCTGCTCCAGAAACAAAAAAAGCTATTGTTTTCACATGAAGACAAAGTCAGTTACAATTTAAATACATTATTTAATGTCGGTGAGTAATACATATGTAACATACACATTGAATTTCAGGCTTAAAAAACAGGGACCATCTGCTCATATGTGTCCAGGAAGTAGATCTTCTCTGTCTACACCTGTTCAATAAACCAGATGGAATTAATCTGACAGCTAGGTAAAGTTCCCCACTGATTCCAACATCTGGACTCTCAGAAAAGACCCTGACATGATCGCATGACTCTGGAGGACTGAACACATCAAAGGAGGTGGTGTCCGGTCTCCAAAAGCAGAGCCTCCAAGGTGAGTCTGGTCTGGGGGGTGATGAAGGGCTGATGCAGCCAGCATGAAAGATAGACCATGCAGAGGTCAGAGGTCACAGTATGGGCTAGTTCCTGCAGGATTGTCTGCTTCAACTTCAGCTCCTGACTGAAGGAGTCCAACAGGACACAAGACGACTCATCTGAAACATGAAGAGACATCAGACAATGTCTGAAACATGAAGAAGAGGCATCAGACAGGTGAGTTCAGTGAACAAGTAAACTCACTGAAGTGTTTGGCATTCCAGCTGTGAAACAGAGGACACGTTCTTCCTTCAAGTCCAAAATGAAACTCCTCCAGATCCTGAAAGCCTTGCTGTGATGCTGTAAGACGCTCCATCTTCTTCACCACAACAACCTGACAGGAAGAAAGACAAACATTTATTTGTAACACAACTACACGTCGTTACCTTAACACGACTGCATGTCATTACCCTAACGCAACTACACGTCGTTACCCTAACGCGACTACACGTCGTTACCCTAACGCGACTACACGTCGTTAACTTAACGCGACTACACGTCGTGACACTAACGCGACTACACGTCGTTACCCTAACGCGACTACGCGTCGTTAACTTAACGCGACTACGCGTCGTTAACTTAACGCGACTACGCGTCGTTAACTTAACGCGACTACGCGTCGTTACCCTAACGCGACTACGCGTCGTTACCCTAGCGCGACTACGCGTCGTTACCCTAGCGCGACTACGCGTCGTTACCCTAGCGCGACTACGCGTCGTTAACTTAACGCGACTACACGTCGTGACACTAACGCGACTAC